GTGAAGATCGCATCCGTGTTGCAGCGGTGTTTGTACCCCAGTGCACGTAGGACGCACGACGCACAGCTGAGTGCTTATGTTTTTCTACTCCTCGGATGTACCTTGTTTCCGGATAAGAGCGGTGGAAACAAGCTCAGGCCACGCGACATAGTAGAGGCGTGTGACCCCGACAGTGTAGGCCAGTTTTCTTGGGGATCGGCTACGTTGGCGTATTTGTATCGCCAACTAGGATTTGCGAGTCGGGCTGACGCGGCAGGTATCACTGGGTGTCTGACTCTATTGCAGACCTGGATATACGAGTACTTTCCTGCATTGCGACCACATCGTGACCCGAATCCTATTGATGACGGGATGACGCGTGCTTGTGCGTGGAGTCCTCGCTCGGAGAAGAAGTCCGTTGACCGCCTCCGATCGATACGGTTATTGCTGGACAGGCTGTCCTTCTTAGAGGTAACGTTTATAAATTGTTTCTACATTTTATTATTTGCACATATTATATTCATGTTATTAAATTTTAAAACTATGTGCAGGTGAACTGGATGCCTTTCGGCCCGAACCCTAGTGTTAGGGTACCCAGGACCCTGTACACGGGACTCATTCAGTATCGTGAGATCGTCGAGGCGTACATGCCCCAGCGTTGTCTTCGCCAGCTTGGATTTGTCCAAGTTGTCCCTCCTCCCCCGGCATGCCCGATGAAGGCGGTCCGACCTGCATCGTCGAGGGACTACGTCGTGCAATGGCCGGATATCATGACCGGGACGTGGGACCAGTTTCCGATGGTGGCCCGCTTATTGACTGCGGAGTTGCAGCGGCCGCCCTCTGGGATTCCTCCCATGTGTGACCATTACTACATGGAATGGTTCAACCGGTATTCGCACCCGAGGTTGATCGCAGATCTCGACCACAGCGATGATGATTATGTGCCACCGCCTACTGCCATGGAAGCGGTATGTCTCATATTATATTTATCGTTGTCTTTTAATTAAGTTTTATATGTTGTTATTGTATTTCATCTTTTATTTTTTGTTGTATGCAGTGGATGGGAAAGATAATGCAGGACGTACAGAAACTCTCTCTTGAGAAGGACAGCATGAGTGCAACAGTGAGAGCTGTTGTTGATAGTCTGGAACAGACCCTTGCGCAGTGGGAGTCGTCGTCGAGGAGGGATTACTGATGGTTTTGTCATTTTATTTATAGAGCACTTTAAATATTATCGTTTTAATTTATTAAATTGGACATGATGTTGTAAGTTTGAAATTTAGATTGTTCTTTTAGCTTCCAACTTAAACATATTATCATTGGTGTTTTTAAATTTTGATATAACCGTTCGTGGATCCGCGCAACTTACCCATGCAACATATAGAATGCAGTAAGCAATACAATATAAAAGATTAATGTTCTCATTAAAAGAGCAACGTACAAATAAGATTACATAGGAAGAATGTAAACATGAAAAACTAAAATGCAGCTAGGGTGTTCCATTCGTGGATCCGGTCATGATATAGCGCATCCCAACCCTCTACGCTCGCTGTGCGAATGGTGTACCACCGAGGTATAATCGGTGGCACTGGAAAATCGGATGACATGTCTAGTCGGATGAAATGTCTGTATGACGACCCAAGAAACGCAATAGCTACCTCTCTGACCGGTGTGGTGACAGTCTCACGCGACCGCAAAGGGAGAACCGTGGTACAAGGATAATAAGCTTGACTATGCACTCCTAGGCCGAAATGCATGACTGCACATTTGTAAATGTTTGCAACGGCAAACAGATCTAGGGGCGCGTCAAAATAATGATTTTGGCCGCAAGGTCCACCTCCCCACCGGATACGCCGCAGAGCGCCATCCAAGTCATCCTGGTACACATGACGATAAACATTTCGGTTAGAGGCAATTTTGCTGTACATCAACTGACGTACCAAACCGTAGTTGTCTTCGCCCATTTGAAAAACATCAGCCACGACCCGGAATCCGCAGTTACCATCTCCGACTACATCATTCCACCCTTCCAAGTACGGCATGATGATCGCAGGTATCCTTTCCTTGTACGGAAACTGATCAACATCGTTTCTTCCTATTCACCATATAATTATAGACAGTTAAGAAGGCAGGAGTAACACTTTAAAACTATGTGCAATGTAAACAACCAAAACGTACCAGTTCTCAGGGGCATATTCACAGACGATGAAGATTGACTACGACTAGATGACGATGTCCGACCACGAGCACGAGCACGAGCAAGACCACAGATATACTCAAACGCACTCCTGTTCCGCCGTTGTCGACCTCGAGGACGGTCAACTCCTTCGGGTTCCTCATAATCTAAGGTAGACGTGTGGAACATGTCATGAAGTACATGAGTAGCGTCACGAATAATAGAAGGATGGCTGGAGGACACTCGGTCGTACATCGAACGAAACTGCTCCAACTCCTCCTGTTCACGGTCGGCCGTTTGAGTGTCTGCATGCTCACCAATAACGAGCGTCCTCCAGAATGAATGGACCTGATCAACATGTAACGACACCCTTTCTTCTGTAATAACGCGGTGAATGGTGCATGCGCAAGGTAATCCATGAGTTACTGAAATAGCACACCCACACCGAGCATACACTTCGTCAGCCAAGTCCCTTATCCTGTTCAGCTCAGTGAGAATCAACTCCAAGCAGTAGTGCGACACACGACCATGGAGAATCTTAAATATAAAATGGCTATACATCGTACCATGTCGTCGTCTGGAGTCCTCTAGAGAGTTCCTGATGCCGTTCTTCTGAGTTTCAATTGACTTGTTAAGTCTATCGAACAGTGTATCCAAAGCGGCGGTCGATGAATCAATCCAGTCCTTGGTAGCTCTATGAGCGCTCTCAACTCTACATGTTGTAGTGTTCCCGAAATGAAGTACCTGGTTTGTCCAATATTTGACAAACTTTTCCCTGTGAGGGACCCATTGCTGCATCACATAGTCCACCAGTGTCGGACACCACTGGTACGAATCCCTGAAGTTAGCCAATGCTCGCTCATACGCTTCCTCTGTGGTAGCCTGTAGGATCTTCCGCCACTTACCATTCACCAATCTCTCTGCCATTTCCAAATTCTTGTTGAAAAGGTTCTAGGCTTTCACTTTCACTCAGTGATACCCCCATTTAGAGTAACCAATCACTTCCCAACCGTCACGACTCCGTAGTTGTCGAACCTTTACTCTGAACTCACACCCACAACCTTTCCGCTTTGTATCAAACCGAGTGGTTGTACGAAAATCTCTTTCTTCTCTTTTGCGATAACGGTCACATCTCAAAATGCGATCCATTCTACCATCCCGTTGAGATTTATGAGTTACTACTACCAAGAAAAATCCAGCTGCAATTGCAACCTGTTTTGCCCAATCAATCGCCTGTTGAGCTTCTTCGAATGGACCATCATGTCCAAATATCCCATTGTAATCATTTCCATCTCCACCATAATCCTGCATCAATTATATATTATAATAAATACATTTAACGGATAATACATTTAATTTCTATATTTACACAGAATTAACACAAAAAAAGCATAATTATGTATAATCAAACTTAATTTTTATAAAAACCCAATTCGAATTTTCAAACTAAATTTAAAAATATACCATTTCGAATTTTCAAACTTAATTTTAAAAAAAACCTATTTCGAATTTTCAAAATTAATTTTAAAAAAAACCCATTTCGAATTTTTTTAAAAAATCATTTTCGATTTCTTTTTTAAAAAAAAAAATAAATAAATAAAAAACAACAACAAAATCAAAAAAAAAAAATTAATATATAAAGGTGGCGTCTGCCAGGGCTGCCACAGCCACTGGACTGGCGCCTGGCAGGGCCGCCTCAGCCAGTAGAGTGGCGCCTGGCCAGGACGCCAGTCTGGTGGTCTGGGCGTCTGGGCTGGACGCCACTGTGGTGGTTCTGGCGTCTGGCTTGGACGTCCAGGCTACGGTCTGGGCTGGACGCCACTCCGACGGTAAACCGTGAATTTTAACGGTGACTTACCTCGTTTTCCGTCGACGACGACGTACCTCCGGCGTCCCCCGCATCTCCGGCCTGCCCTCCAGTCTCCCCCGGTGAGCCAGTACGGCTCCACATTTTTTAAACCGAGATTATTTCAATTTTAGAAAATGGGCATAATGGTCACACCAAGTCATATTTGTGGGCTTTATATGGTAATTTGCGGGCGATGTTTAGCGATTCACACAATTATTGGTGGTTTGGGGGAAAAAAAGTGAAAGGGTCGATGAGAATCCAAATAGGAATGAGAAATGTGAGGGAAATAGGGAGGGAAGGGAAAGAATGGGTCCAAAATGACGTCACGTGGTAGTTGGGGGGTAAAAAAGTGGTAACTTTTCATGTTTTTGAAAATAGAAGGTGGTAATTTTCAAAATAAAAAATAGAAGGTGGTAATTGTTAAAATGGACATAACATAAGGTGGTAATTGTCAAAATTTCCTAGTATTAATTTGAGAAATCATGACAAAATCACGCGTCAATCGGTGTAATTAATATTAGTTTTAATTTAATCTTTCTAATTTTAACTAGCTTATCCAACGTTCACGAAGCGTTCGTTAGCATTTTCCTAATATAATTGCATATATGGGACCTAGAAGTCAGGAACTTAGATATGAACTATACTTTATTGATTTGAGTGTTAAAAAATATTGATTTTGAGTGCCTAGAAGTAGTTGGTGTAATTATAATTGTAAACAATCAATAATTCTAGATTAATCATGCACAGTTATAATTAAGACAAGGACATTACATCTTCCAAATAACTGAATTATGATCTCCCTCCATTCCACTTTTTATTCGTAATAGTCTGGTTCTATTCATCTGACTTTTAATTAAATAAACTTAAAAAGTAGTAATTCATTGAGATTTGATTTTAATAATTAAACTTAAAAAGTAGTAACTTATCATACAAATTTACAATACTATAAATGTGTGTACACTTGGTATTTTACATCCTCTTCTAATAATTTACCAGGTCCTTTATGGCTGCCGCACCAATTGCAGGACAAATGATTTCATTCCTTTTGAAGAAGGAGAATGCTAAAAAGACTATTGAAGTTGGAGTTTTTACAGGATATTCCCTTTTGCTAACTGCTCTTTCAATTCCGGGTGATGGAAAGGTTGAATTTTTTTTTGAGTTTATCTTTTTGTTACATCGTCACAACGACACAACCTAGTTTATTTAAGTCAGAAGCACTATAAAGTGTAAAATATATGTATATAAGTATTAAATATACTTCCTAATATGAAATTAAGTTAAAAAAATAATGAAAAATTAAACATATTTTTGTTTTCCGACAAAACAATTAATAAATGAACATATTTCGTTTATAAATACTACCTCCGTTAATTATTATATGCAACTTTGGGGTATTATTTATGAGGTATAAAATATTTCAAAGTTGCACATAATAATTAACGGAGGTAGTAGTTGGGTCACTAATATCAATTTTTCTATAATTCCTTGCAAAAGTGAACAAGTTTTGTTATTGATTACTACAGATTACTGCAATTGATTGCAACAGAGAAGCATATGAGATTGGCTTGCCATTCATCAAAAAAGCTGGCGTTGAAGCAAAAATTGATTTTGTTGAATCAGATGCTCACCTAGCTCTTGATAATCTTCTGTTGAATGTAAGTATATAATTTCGTAGAATTAACTGATTTCACCACCCTCACGGCTTGGTCTGATCTGATCTAATATAACAATTTGACTAAACTTTGACCGCATTTTAATACTAATCTATAAAGAAAAATATTATCAAAATGGATCTTGTTAGATTCGTCTCATTATGAACTTTTTAAATATGTAATTTTTATAAAAAAAAATTAATACACAGTTAACGGTATTTAGTAATAAGTAAATGATGATCAAAAGTTCTGATTTGGTCTGATCTGAATCTTTTGATCTGATCAGAATTTATTAAGAAATAAGTAATAAGTATCTGAAATAAGTTGAAGAGAACAAATCCTTAGACTCTTCTACCATTTATTTAAGTTCTATATATTTCAGTTTAATTGAGCTAAGTTTAAAAGAACGGGATGGTACTCATCTCACCACCTACTTTATCTGCCTTAATTAATATCCATCTCACATGTACTAGTATTTGACTTTTTTGCATCAAAGAAAAAAAAACACATGTATTTGACTTCAAATTTTTAACAAATATAGATCTGTACATATAAAACAATACTCCATACGGAGTAATTTATTGTACATCCCTAAAACATATAGAGCCCTTGCTCTTATGAGGAAGTAGAAATGGAGAAAAGTTAGGCATTTATAAATGCATAACAAGGGATATTCATGTAATAATACCTATGTACAAACGAATGCATATTCTGGTATCATTGGATGATCAAATGGTACCACTGAATATACAGTGATACTATATATGCACATAATGGTATAATATATGCATTCAGTTGTACAAAATTTATGCATAAATAGTACCACTGAGGATTCAATGGTACCATATAAACTTTCAGTGGAACAATCAACTTGTGGTCTCCCATCACGTGATACAATCCGACCAAAAAATAGGTGGGGTCCACCTACAGACCTTCCTCTTCCTATCTCTCTCCTATTTTCTCTCTCTATCATGTATTTTAATAATATTTTAATCAATGTTATGCATTTACAAATGCCTAACTTTCCTCCCTTTAAAATTCCTCTGCTCTTATAATTAATGATTTCCTCCGTAGTACATACCCACCTATTACAAATTCACAGATGGGGCGGCCAGTTTAGCTATTTATTGCATGATCTGATTTGATTATTTATTTTGGAGGAACTAGAAATGGAGGAAAGTTATGCATTTACTAATGCATAACATTGATTAAAATATTATAAAAACACATGGTAGAGAGAGAAAAGAGGAGAGAGATAGGAAGAGAGAGGCATGTAGGTGGACCACACCTATTTTTTGGTCGGATTGTATTACGTGATGGGGGGCACATGCTGATTGTTCCACTGAAAGTTTATATAGTACCATTGAATCCTCAATGGTACTATTTACGCATAAATTTAGTACAACTGAATGCGTATATAATACCATTATGTGCACATATAGTATCGCTATATATTCAATGGTACCATTTGATCATCCAATGATATCAGAATATTTATTCATTTTTACATATGCATAATTACATTAATATCCTTTGTTATGCATTTTTAAATGCCTAACCTTCCTCCCTTTAAAATTCCTCTTTATTTTGCAATAACCCCACCCAATGTTTGTTATAGTACTTATTTTTTTCTTTTTATATTATTATTATTATTATTATTATTATTTTAAGAAATAGATCTCAATGTAATGTTGAATACCTTTGAAGTTTAGCTAGTGTACTGTTTGTGTTTACGTATATCGGATCAATGTAAATTTTTAATCGCAAATATTTTTAATTTTACATTAGTAAAAATTATTAAAATTATAGCCATGTTTTGGGAAAAAGTTAAAAGCTGAAACTGATTGTGTTAGCTAATTATAACTAGTTGATTGTATTAACTGATTTAAATTACTTATTTTTTTAGGTGATTGTATAAAAGTGTTTCGAAAATAGCTGATTGCTTAAAGCCAATTGATTATCTGAAATGACCAATAAACTAATTGTGGGGTAGGTAGTTCATATAGTATTTTTAAATTAAATAGGTGTATAAGTGTCATTTCACTATAAGAATTGAATAAGCTAATTTAAATTAAATAGGGGTATAAGTGGAATAAGCTCTTCAAATAAGCTATCTTCCTATCAAACACTTTGAATTGCTTATTTAATACTCCATCCGTCCCCAAAACTTTGACCCTTTTGGCCTAATTTTAGTCCCAAAAAGATCAACCCATTTGCATTTAAAAACACCCACCAATTTACAACAATATTGTGTAAAATTAGGTTCTCCATATAATTTTTTGTTTTTTCATGTATTTTTAATACTTTATCTCTCTACTTTTTTACAAACCCCATGTAAATTTATCGTTCCAATACGTTTTTATTTCTTTTTGTTTAAGTTTCTTAATAACCGCGAAATCAACCCAAAAGGGTCGAAGTTTTGGGGACGGAGAGAGTAGTCAATAAGCTAATGTTGGTCAAATAAAATAATTTTGCTCTAACAATCTACCTTTATCCTAAAACAGAGAGAGTATCATTATACAAAATAAATGCGATTTTTTAAAAGATTGTGAAAGTTTTACTTATATTAATATCCAGAAATTTCAAAAGATATGTTGTTGTAACTAGATTAAGATTTTGAATAACTTGATCGAGTACATGTATACAGCCTAAGAATGAGGGAAGTTTCGACTTTGCCTTTGTGGACGCGGACAAGCCTAGCTACCAACACTACCATGAGCGGTTGATGAAGCTCGTCAAGGTTGGAGGCGTGATTGCTTACGACAACACGCTTTGGGGGGGGGGGGGGGGGGGAACGGTAGCCATGGCTGAATCACAAGTACCGGACTTCATGAAGGTGAATCGAGAGGCCATGATCAAGTTAAACAAGTCTCTTGCTGCTGATCCTCGCATTGATATTGCTCAACTTCCTCTAGGTGATGGTATTACATTTTGTAGGCGTCTTTATTGATCAAATCTCTTAATGCTTCTAATAATGTTGCAGTTATTGAACAATTAAAACTTTGTAAAACAATTTGTTGGACAGGTTAATATTGTGTTTAATGCATATTAATTAATTTTGTTGATCATTTACGGACAAGTAGCAAGAAGAAACTTCTCCTCGTGTGATAGAATTAGAAATTTAACTAAATATAATGAGACTTAGCTTGATAAAATTGGTGGAAGAATGTGATGACTCATTTGCCTTTGATGACTAATTCTATTGATCATTTATAATTTAATTAATGCATATTACTTGTATGATACATTTAAAATTTTATATGAAATATCCAAAAAAAGTAACTTATATCTAAATTTCATTAGTTGAGACCCTCAAAAAACTTTTACATGATTATATATTATACTCCTTTCGTTTTACAGTGATGTTCCTGTTTGGAATCTAAGACTTTTAAAAAATAAGAGAGTATATTCTAAACTTTCCTCAATCTATAAAAACAAATATAGTCACATGGGATCTAGTTTGATTCGTCTTGGTGAGTATATTATTAATATCTAACTTTAATAATTTTTGCTGGTGTGAGCTCAACAATATCTACGGTCAAAATATGGGTAAAAACTTGCATTGATTTACGTAAATATGAATATTATTTTGAAATGGAGGGAGTAATTGTCATCAATCGACGTTTTTATTATAATTTAATGAAGGGTCACATGGTTTTGTCCCATGGTAAGGAGGGATGATGATCGTGCAGCTGCTCACATCTTCAGCAAGATCAGGTTTGCTATAGCTAGAGGGGTGGGGGCCCATATTGTATTTCGGCTCCCCAGATTGTAAATTGATTGACTTTGTAGTTTTTTTGAAATTTCTCGATGTCAGGCAATTGGATATGGTTTCATCCGCTTCCCCTTTTCTTCACTTGAGGAATTAGAGAAGGAGGTTGTTACATTGGGGAATTAGGCGACTTTATTGATCAAATCTCTTAATGCTTCTAATAATGTTGCAATTATTGAACAATCAAAACTTTGTAGTTAGTTAAACAATTTTGTTGATCATTTATAATTTGTAGTCTTACACTATTGGACAAGTAGCAAGAAACTTCTCCTCTTGTTTCCCTAAATTAAAAAACTTCTCTTGTGATAGAATAAAAAATTTAACTAATTATAATGATGAGATTTAGGGCATGTTCTCATATGATTATTTTCTGTTCAATTCAATCCAGCTCTAATAAGCTTTTAATTTCCTTCTCTTATAAAATATTCATTTCAGCTCAGTGTAATTCAATTCAGTTCTAATAAGTTCAGTTCAGTTCAGTTCTAATAAGTTCAGTTCAGTTCAGCTCATTTCAGTCAATGAGAACAGACCCTTAGCTTGATCAAAAAGAAAGAAGAATGTGATGATTCATTTGCCTTTGATATACATTTTGTAAAGAATTTACAAAACACGGAGAAGAGGCATCAATTACAAATTTACAAGCTTGGAAAATATTAATTACGAATAAATTTATCACTTGATTTATCCAATTACAAGCTCGGGAAAACATTACTCCTTAATAACTTGTATGATATATTTAAAATTTAGGAAATTTTGTTTTTTACCACCTACAAATAACGACTTTATTGAATTTACCACCTCCAAAAAAAAAAGATTTACTTTACCACCTCATAAAAAAATTAAACATCAGTTTTCCCACCTAAGCCTAACTCCGGTGATGGAAACCGCCAGTGGGGCCCGCCATAACAGCTAGTTTTTGAATTTATCCCCAAATTCTCTCGATTTTCCTTCTATTTAAACCAACCTTCTTCATTTCCACATCAAATTGTTGAAGATTGAAGTTTTTTTTTTGCGATTTTCTTCACAAATCCTTAATTTGGGTAGTAAATGAGCCAAAGTTCATCTTATATTTGCTTATAGCTTGGTTTTTGGTCTGATTTGTATCCTTAATGGCTTAAGGATTGCAAACAAAAACGTGTTTGATCTTATAAATACCGAATCCGTGGATGAGCAACAACAATTACTCGTACCTGAGCTGCTTCAATTTCTGTTTCCTGAACCTGATTGTTATATGACAGAGGTTTCAGAAAACAGACGGCGACGAAGAATAGATCCGACTTCTGGAAAAAAAATTATTCTCGTAATTCAGAGGTAGTGTGACCATTTCTACTGCCAAATTTTCATTGAAGTTGATTGTATTTGAACACAATTACCATAATCTAACCCTAATTTTACTGCCCAATTGAAATATCAAAAACCCCCAAATTAATTTACACTTACATGAACCCTAATTATTTACAATATGAAATTGGGGTTGAATTAATAACAGAAAACATGCAATTTCAATTATACTTAGAAATTGTAACATAATCACGCAAACAATTGCAAAAAATTACAACAGAATTCATGAAAATTTCTTACCTTTTCGCTGTTTGTCGTCGAACAGTTCAATTGATTCAGGGCCGAGTACAATCTTCAATAATTTGATAATTTGAGGATGTGGGATTGTTAAGGATCACCCAAAATCAGAATTTGTGAAGAAAATGGCAAAAAAAACTTCAATCTTCACGAAATAGATGTAGAAATGAAGAAGTTAGGTTTAAATCAAAGGGAAATCGGGAGATTTGGGGATAATTTCAAAAACTAGCTGTTATGGCGGGCCTCACTGGCGGTTTCCGTCACCGGAGTTAGGCTTAGGTGGGAAAACTGATGTTTAATTTTTTTATGAGGTGGTACAGTAAATCTTTTTTTTTTGGAGGTGGTAAATTCAATAAAGTCGTTATTTGAAGGTGGTAAAAATCAAAATTTCCTAAAATTTATATGAAATATCCAAAACAGTAAATTATATCTAAATTTCATTTAAAATTTGACCATAAACACTTATTGATCCATAAGTAGAATATTAGAAATACGAAAAACAGTTATGTTTGAACACTAATGGATTTAGTTCAATGCATTTGACAATTAAAATAATATCGGTTCAGAGGCATGGAGTACATTAAATTAAAAAGAAACGGATGTAGCATAAAACTTGACTAAAACCTCTTTTTTTTTTTTTTTTTTTTTTTTTTTTTTGTTTAAAAAATTCATGTTATTCTTTTTAATGTATAAACAATTTTATTATCCCTCAAAAAAAAAATGTCGATCTAAAATGCATGGCAGTGATGGCACAGGTAAAGTAAATAAATAAAATAAATAAAAAATAAAGAAAAAGAAAAGTGGTGCACAGAGGGCTAGGCCCCAAGAAAGACACATAAAATGAAAAATCTGATGAACAAATCATAGCATATATAGGCATTCCTATGATATCATCACATAAAAAGGGACTTGAATCAACTCAAAATTGTTATTTTGATTTACACATTGATTTGTCAGTCAATCTCCAAGTAAATTTGTCTCTCGATTAAGGCTCTGTTCTGTTCACTTTATTTCCACTTATTTCAGGGTTAATAAGTTCAGATAAGTTGTGATAAGAGTTAATTAGGGCTGCTAAGTTTAATTTATAACTAAAATAAGTTCTAATAAGAGTTAAGTTTAGATAAGATCAGATAAGTTAAGATAAGTTCATATAAGATCAGATAAGTTCAGAAAAGTAAAAATAGGTGAATAGAACACCCCGTTATATGGTTGGTGGACCTCTACAAGCCAATTTGTTTCCTCTAGTAGCTTATTAAATCCTATAAGACATTGTGTTACTAGAAACCATGACCACTACTGGACTATCGAGTTGGACCTTGATAGGTTGTCGGACACCTGTCAAAAATAAATTCCTAACAAACCAACTAACAATGTAGTAGGGTAAGTAGGGTCGAAACCACAGAGAGATGGCTATTTTAATATAGCTTTCAAGGTATGGAGAAACTAAACTATGTCACGAAATTGGGATAGAAAAATAGTCTAAATTAAAATAGAAATAAAACAATTAATAAAAAGACATAGGGTTATGGTTCACCATGTTTATAGCTCTAAATCTATCAAATATCAATAACAATTCAATCAATCAATTATCTAGAGAAATTGCTAAGCCTACGGTCGGGTCTTAACGCTCTCAATTCAACATATGCAGTACGGTCGCTAACATAATCAGAATTGCTAATTGTAGGGAAGCCTCTAAAAGTAAGATCTTTCGATTCATACTCTTACTAACAATAATTAATCAAACAATTGGGCAGGTTGCAAGATTAACAACAAAACACTATCAATTAGAGAAATCAATAATCAAAATATTAAAATTATCAATCAAGATTCATCATATAAACATGGATTCCCAAACCCTAAAAATAAACTACTCGAACATGGAAGAAATAATTAAAACTAGATCTAAGGAATAAAACATAATTAAAAACAAGAAATAGAAATAAAATACCTCAATGAATTCAAATAATAAACCCAAGAATCATCCATGGAAGAATCCATGGAGATGCTATGAGAAACTAGGGTTTGAGAGAAAACTGAAATGAACGTAAAATAATAAAAAGCATAAAAAAGGCATAAGGGAAAAATAATATTCCTTGAGTATTTATAATATTCTAAAACTAATCTAAAGATAATTAAAATAAAATAAAATCAGAAAAATAGCAATTACAATAGTCGTGATACGATTGGTCGATTGAAAGAGTTATAATTGATGTAGGATTTCTCGTGGCTTGCGCGCACACCCCACCCATCGGGCGATGGGTGGCCGATGGTCGGAACGACACTCGACCATCGGGCGATGGAAAACCATCGGGCGATGGAAAACCATCGCCCCAACCAGCAGCTCACGCTCGAGCGTACATCACGTCCATCGCCCGATGACTGGGTGATGGGTTGGCAGCTTCGCAGGATTGACTTCAAAGGGCTGTATCTCGCGTTATAGGAACTTTATAGGAGCGTGTGACCTATCAATGGAAATATTTTCAAGTCTAGTTTCCAACGCAATTTGAATCACATAAATCTAATGTGTAAAACTCAAGTTATGATCAAAAGAGTGAATAAGAGTCAGTTTTACCACTTTGTAAAACATCGTTTAACTTCGTTTCTAACTCAAATTCAATTCCGAAAAGTGCGCAACGATCATTGTGGATGCTATTTTCATTTCTCATGCATAAAATCCTCATAGTCAACATCCACAAACATGAGATCTTCGATTAGTAAGCTCAATTCATCGACTTTTCATCTAAATATCATCCGAATCAACTCCAAACACTTCGAAAGCGTCCAAATGACTATAAAATCACCTGAAACATCAAGACAAACACAAACGGATCGTAATAGAGAACAAAACAAACAACTTATGCATTTGCGTCCTAAAAAGCAAGAAAAGACCTAAAAAGCTACTATAAACTTAGCATAAACGTGCCTATAAACTCTATATAAATATGATTTATCAAATTCCCCCAAGCTAAACCGTTGCTTGTCCCCAAGCAACACTAGACTCAAAACGGAGAAACAAGACCAATAAGACTTCCAGGGAACCAGAATAAGATCGACCTGACTCTCGAGCAAACAATCAAAGCAAAGTTATTAAGACCAAAATCTAGCTCGGATACAAATAGAACCACTTAACATCACGATCCACAATTGAAACCAAACTTGGTCACAAACGATTTCCCAATCAAGCTAGTTGTCGCCGCACACCTTGTAGAATATAAATATTTGATGCGACATAGGGTAATTTGACGATAGCAAGAGATAATGTTCACTCAATCACAAAACAAACATGCCGATCAAAAGGACTTTATAAGCTTGTAATGGGGCTAAGGTAAAGAGGTAGGATAATATTTTAGGAAAATGCGTGTAAAAAGCCAACTTGGGGAGCAAAAACTTAAACGCGATCAAATAATGATCTAACTTCGATTGACATCACCAACTTTCTCCAAAACATTATATCGAGCCAAGATTGAAATTAATTATACATCGTAATGAATAATTTTTTTTTCTTTCTTTTTTCCTTTTTCTTTGCCTTTTTCTTTCAATTCTTTTGGCTTTTTCAACGAATCACATATAAACAAGCTTTTTATTTTTTTTTCTTTTTTTTTTCTTTACATCTTCAAGTAACATTTCTCAACTATAAGTACAACTTTTTTTTTTCAATCTTTACTCCATCAGGTTTTGCATAAATTGAAGCTTGACACACAAACGACACCACATCAATAAGCTCCCCAAGCTAGCTAGACTTGGGAATAGTAATAAATGGGGCTAAAGAGGCTTTTAATGTAGCTATATATCAATAAATGGGCAAGACATAAACATGGGTGAGCAAAAAGGGAACAAATGTATCTAAATATCATCTGAAGGCTACCTAAAGAACGTGGCCTTTATCATATGCGGCATGCGTGAATCATAATCAAATTACTAATAAATTTCAAGCCAAAATCATTTAAATAACAAATTGCATCAATCACACAAACACATAGTAAGGTGACCTAACAAGAGAATTGGCTAGCTATACTTGATATGGGACAACCAATCTTCCACAAACCATTCAATTGATTCACACAATGTCAAGCAGTTAGCAATGTATAGCACAGACCGACTGAATTTTAGAATTATAACTAAGATCAAAAGAAGCTCAAGAGAGTCAAACCAAATCCGCACACGGTTCGAAGTCAAAATATAAAAGATAGACACAAGTATGCACTAGCAAAAATAACTAAAAACAACTTAAAACACTAAGAAAGCAATACATTGTTTTTCGTTGTATGTAAACTCCCACTCCTAATGAATGGTACAAACCATACAACACCTAAAAAGCAATAAAAAATAAACTAAACTCAACTAACATGCACAGAGTAATGATGGCAATCATCCTCCCCCAAGCTAAACATCACATTGTCCTCAATGTAAACAAAGAGGAACTAAAGCATAAATAAGGGAGAGGCATAACTCACAAAGGGATGGGTAAGCGAAGGGAGCGTCAAATGTATAGACACCTCCACCACAATTGGTAGTTGTAATTGGGTAGCCGACATAGCCAAGAAACTTAGCTATGTTTGTACTTAGCAAAAGACGTCATCACTAGAACACACATTAGCATTATTATTTAAATAATGAAAAAAATGAAATGAAAATAGGAAGTAGAAATAAAAAAACAAAAAGAAAATTGGGTTGCCTCCCAATTAGCGCTGGTTTTTAAGGTCCCGCACGACCCTACTCAATTAGTCAATCGGAAGAATCCAATGCCTTGAGTAACTTATCATACGCCCCTGCAAACATATCATTGAGCACCACATATGGCTTGATAGCAAGCACACTAATCTTAAAATACATGGGGCTAGAAAAAATAAAATAAAAATAATCGAAAAAAGAAAAGTTAAAATAAAAAAGAAAAAGAATGTATACACCTTACCCCTGCTTGCCCCTTAGGTAATGTAGACCTTTTTGAATAATCATCAAGGTCCACATGACCAAGTGTATCATGAAATGGAGAAATTTTGAGAAAGTATGGAGGATTCACTAGTAGAAAAAATGCTATTTGTAACGCCCTATTAGTAACTGACATAAATTATGCAAGTTACAATAAGAGTATTAATAACTAACATAGATATTGTGGGTTACGAATAAATTATTATTAATAACTGGCATAACCAAGGACAGTTACAAATAGTATATCAATGGTAGGCTGACCAACTATAAGTAAGGGGTATAAAAAAGTACAGTTACAAATAATAAGTCAAACTTTATTGACCTTATTAATGGTGGTGGGTTTCATCAAGGTCAGTTACTAAATGTTCTCGTTTATTTTATTTTATGTAGTATTTTATTTTGAGAAAGTGCTAAACTAAAATTTCACGAAATTGAAAACTTCTATCCCGCCGGCTACTAATCTCCCATACCCTCATTAGCTGCTACATATTCCATTAGTTCCTCAACCTAAATCCCAATAACCACCGTTTGTTGCTCTGCTGCGAATTTCCTTTTAAATCTTCCCAAAAAGAAAAAACCCTAATTATTTGCTTCCAGTTAGCAAATTATCTTCTCAACTAACCCACATAATTCTTTGTCATCTCTAATCATTTTTCTATATATGTGAGGCATATATATACGATGTGAATTTCAGATTGAATAAGTACTACCCTTCAAAAATTGCTAAAAGCTATTCTCTTAATTAGGCTTCGGGGTTTTTAATTCATTGTTGTGACTCTAGGATCCACCGTTTATCTAGTTTGTTGGAGAAAATTGATCAAGTTCAAGCCCAAAAATTCTTGTAAGTTGTTTAAAGTTTTCAATTTTAGATTTATAATCTTCAATAATTATGGGTTGTTGGAGTATTGTTGAATTTGTTTGGTATATGACTGTCAATTTAATCGTAAATTCTAATTGTATTCTAAATTTTCTTGCATTCTGATTTTAATTTTTGGGTGTGATTCTTTGGCATGGTTTTACGGTCTCTAACTTTGAATGAGTGACTAGCGTCTTTCTGATTTTCTTTCTTCAAGTTATATTGTTTAAGTAAGTTTACTTAACTACTTAAAATAGATTTGATTATCAATGTTAATTTTCAAATTAAGTTATATTAAGGTTACTTATTTGCTATATTTACTCGAACAGGGTTTTATTTTCTTTGCTTTTTTTTTTATTATTTTTAATTTCAAATATATGTTTGCGTTTATTGGCCTTTAGCTGAATCAAAATCATAATTGTCACTTTGATGAATTTTCCATCTAATGTTTGATTCTTGATTTCATTACTAGTTTAAGGCAATTAGTTTAATTATAGATGACTCAACTTGTTCTCCCTTGCAGAATTAAGAGTTTCACTATAAAAGTATCAAGTTAGACTAGATATTTATGCTGATGTTAGTGATTTATTTAACTAAAATGTAAAAAACGTTACTGCTCTAAGACTATAGTTTTTTAGAGTAACGAATTATGTTGTTGTTAGTGATCACAACATGATAATTAATTGGGAAATTCATGCTTCCTGTGTATTTATTCCACTTGTGAGGATGTTTCATTCATGGCTAGACAATTTTCTAAGTTACTAGCCGGTTGTTAAAACACGAGGTTGACAAAAGTCGATCAATTGGTTACTTAGCCCCCGTTTTTTTTTTTTTTTTTTTTTTTTTTTTTTTTTTTTTTTTTGTTTGTTTTTGGTGGGTTTTAGTTAGTTGAATCATTAAATGTTGTGTAGTAGTAGGAGTAAGGTCTAACGTATACTTCACTAATGAGATTAATGATAAGCTAGAGAATAGCATAAAGAATGAGGTAGTACATTTAAAATAGGATGTATGTGCTGTGCTGTACTAATCTCTCTTTTTTTTTTTTTTTTTTTTTTTTTTTAGAAAGTTGTGCTGTACTAATCAAGCAGAATTAGAAATTAATTCTGGCAATATTAGAAGATGAAGGTATTACAGAATTAGCTCTTAGAGTGTAAGATGAAATATTGCACCCTTAAATGGAAGCAAGTAGGTGGTAATTGAATTGTACAAGATAATTAATTAGCATAATCGCTAAAAATTAATATTCAGTAAATTGAGAGATTATGAAGGGCCATTTATTGGCCAGCTTGGAAGTAGCATCGTGGCAGAATATGCATTTGATGTGTGTTAATATTCAACTTTTTTCTAAAATTCTATACCAAGTTAAGGTCTTGTATTTTTGGTTTAAAGTATGAATGTATGATATACTTTTTGTAATGTAGCTAATAAGTATAAGATATTCAGAACATCAGAAGGGTCAAGTTTATAGTACTCTGTAGGAAAAAAACAATTTGGAGGTCAATTCTGGTGTGTATGTATAATTTTATTGGATTCCTAGACACAAAAGGTCCAAAGTAGACACATGTATGTTTTATTGTACTTAGGAAATTAATTAAAACAAGGAAGAAAAAAAAGGGTTATTAAGTAGTAAGGTCTAACATCAGAAGGCTCACTTAGATTGAACCTTTAAAGTACTTGGGAAATTAATTAAAACAAGGAAGAAAAAGATTCTCCTAATGCCCTCTCCCTTATGCAAGTAGTTTTAAGGAATTTTATAATTTTGAGTGAGGTATCAAATGCTAGAATTTGCAGTTAGTTTGAAGTTTCGCCGCCAACAATTAACTTGGGCCATGTTTTTTTTTTGGTGTCAAACAAGTAAAATGCTTGTTTGGTTAATGAGCTTTTGTTTCCAATGAGAATTTTCAGCATTTTAAGTCGTATAACTTGATGTTCTTAGTTTATGTTTGTATTTGTGTCAGAAAAAAGGCCAAACTTGATAATGAATGGGTGCAGTGTGACAAAAGTAGGAAGAGGAGAATAAATAATTCATGCTGTGAATCTACCTAAAGAGGTGATGAAATTTCCTATAATGATTTCTTTGTTTAATTAAAAAATGTATGGAGTAAAAGAGTTTCTAATTTGTTGCTTTTCTAGTCCACCATGAGAACACTAAGATGACATGTCCTTTATAACCCATTTTTTTACAGTAACAATTTTGTTAAATTGCTAAGAAACATCTTTCTTCTAGGATGACTTGTCCTTTATAGTTGAAATTTGGTGGTTTCATAGGATACTTTGTGCTCTATATCTTGAGATATTGAGATTAGTCCCATCATTTTTTTTAATTTTTTTTAATGGATAGATCCTATCATTTGGAGCATATACTTGTGATTATTAGATTTGACTAGGTTATAACCATATAGAATTATCAATATTTGTTTACTAACATGATTAATTTCTTTCTTCTAAAAGAGATAGAAATTAACTGAAATTCCTAATCCTATATTGGTTTCCTTTGTTTTACAGGAATTTTAATTTACCAAAAGTTTGACATCTATTTTTCCCTTTTGTAATTAGCAGGAAAGTGATGATTTTATTTGATACTTTGTGCTCTATATCAGATGTTGGTAAGATCCCATTATTTTGAACATATACTTTTATAGTTTAATTTTGCATCTTCCTTAGCTATTTCTATAATTTCTCTTGGTGAGGTGGATGCTCTTGGAGTTGGGTTCTATTTAGGTGATTTCCCCCATTCCACCCAACTTAATTAGTTTCGTTATGTTGTTCCTTGCATGCATCATGAATAGTTATCCTGATTCTATTCACATAACATTTAGACACTCTTAATACTCAATGTCTTGTAATCTTCTCAAGATTTAATAAGTTAAGAAATCCATTATCACTACTTGAGTAAGTTAAAACTCTTATCGTTGGAACCTTTTAATTAAGATATCCCATGAACTCATATTCTGGAAATTATTTAAGATTAATTAGTCTTTGTGATAACAATTTGGCAGGATGGTTTTGGATGCAGGGTTCAATATAATTTCAAGCTTATTCTACAAGCACCTTCAAAAGGGTGAATGACTTATGATGAGAGGATGATTTCTACAAGCATTTCTCATATTGTTCTGTTTTATAAATCATAATAATGTTATATTTTGTTTAGTTCAAATCACCTCTTATCACTCTGTTTCTTTTAGGATGACATATGTGTCCTTTGTAGTTGAAAGTTGGTAACATATTTGTAATCGACAAGTACATCATTTTCTATATTTTATAATTGATGATGTTGATCGATGTCGATTAAATTGGACATTACGTGGTTTAGATTGATACTCATTTTATTTATTACTGTAAAAAAGTTGGGTTAATAATTTATGATGCTTTACATTTAAAAAAAAAAAATGTAGCGTGGGTAATGGCAGTAGGGGCATCTCCTACTACTGCCATTTTAATTTTTTTAATAAAATAAACGGCTATTTGTAACCGGCGTTTAGATTTGTCAGTTACTAATATTACCCTAATTGTAACCGGCGTAACTTAATGCCAGTTACGAATAGCATGCTTTCTAACTTAGAAAAAACTTTTTGTAACTGACATTAGGTTAAGCCAGTTACTAATAGTACATTATTTGTAACTAACATAAGTTGGTTACGAATAATTTTCACTAGTTGTAACGGTGGCATTCGCAACCAACAATGTCAGTTACAAAAAGTCAATTTCGCCAGTTACGAATAACATTTTTTCTACTAGTGATTTGACATAGTGAATGAAGGAACTAGATCAAGCCTATGGGTAAATGGGATATGAAGGGGAGATGGGTTAGGCTTAACATAAATGTTTTTACCTTCAACTTCACCCTCATGAATAAGCTTGTCAACAAAATTTTCGACTACCAAAAAAATCCAAAACCATTGGTTTCTCAACCAAGGACTTCACGATAATTGGTTGTTCTTCCTTCTCCACTACCTCTATATCATCATTCCAAAAACTTTCACCATCAGAATCATAAATAGATAGGAAATTATTCTCCTCTATTATACTTTCATTTGACGGGGAGTAAATATCATGAGTCAAATTAGCGCTTTCCTCCACCGAAATACAATCCTCAAAACCAATATCATTATCATCATGTATCACCTGTTGGTTAGTATATTGTTGCACAACAAGTAATTCAATTGATTTTGAAATACGTTGACAATCATGCATCAATTCATTAAGCTCTTCATGCTGATAAACAATAAACTCATTCATCATATTAAAAAGTTCCCTACACTCCGATGAATTGGGTTGAGTATAATTATCCACTTGAGGTTGGTAAGAGGAATTAAAATCAGGCATATAAGACTCACTAGGGTAATAAGAAATTTCACAGGAATTCATGCATATATTTTGTGAATTTTGATAATCATATGATGTATCAAACATAGAAAAATAAGCATTACAATACCCGGAATTATAATCATATTGCCCCTTATAATTAAGATCATTCATCCCATATACACTAGTGGAAAATTTCTCATTCGTAACAGGCTATTTGTAACGGGAAAAGCTTTGCCCGTTACAATTAAGATATTCGTAACGGGCAAAATAGTGTCCGTTACGAATACTTATTTATTCGTAACGGGCAAAATAGTGCCTGTTACGAATAAAGATATTCGTAACGGGCAAAATAGTGTCCGTTACGAATAAATAAGTATTCGTAACGGGCAAAATAGTGTCCATTACGAATAAATAAGTATTCGTAACGGGCAAAATAGTGTCCGTTACGAATAATTATTATTCGTAGCGGACACTATTTTGCCCGTTACGAATACTATATTACACGTAAATGACCAAACTTAGCCCAACTGATGAGAGGAGAGCCCAATACTTTGCTTTTTAGGGTTTCACTCCCTCTCTCACTCATCAGTCCCTCACACCCTCCTCTGGCCGTCATTCACCTCTCTCTCTCCTCTCCTCTCCTCTCTCTCTCTCTCCTCTCCTCTCTCTCTCCTCTCCGTCATCTCTTTCTCTCCTCTTTCTCCGTCATTCACCTCTCTATCTCCTATCCTCTCTATCTCCTCTCCTCTTTCTCCGTCATTCTATCTTCGGAGGTGATTATTTTGGTGTTTTGGGCGGAGGTGTAATCGACGGTGACGGAACTCCGGTCCAAACCTGGTTAGCGTCGATTGAGCAAAGGAAGGAAGGATAGATCTGCCCGTTGGGATTCTATAGCGACGTTGAGAACAACCAAGCCCGTAGGATTCTTCCTCTAATTTAGATCTAAGTCGTTGAACAAATTCACAGGTTTGTTTCGATTTTTTTCTCTTTTGCTTTCTTTTCGTTCTTCGATTTGATGTGCTCGTTGTTTTGATCTTCGCATTGAATTTTTTAGGATTTATAATTGGTTATTGTTCGAGAATTATTTAGGTTTTTGAGTGATTTAATAGATTTATAATGTGATTATTGATTCAACATTTGATCTGATTTTCAGTACGTGTTGTTAGTGAATTTGTGAAATCATGCGTTCTCGTCATCGGTAAGATTTGAGAATTTTTCGTCTAGGTGTTTGATTCTTAGTGTTGATTTTAGGATTTGTGATTTTGGATTGTTTATTTCAATGATCTGAAGAGGATTTTGTGGTGTAAATCTTGTAGATCTGTAAATTTATTTGAATTTTGAAAATGGTTATTTAGTTTTGTTGTTTGTGAATTTGAATTTAGCTTGGAAATGAGATGCGATTTGGTAGTTATGACTTTAAATTAGTGAAAAACTTTCTGATTTCTGAGATCTTTAAGTAATGCGCAAATGTTCGTAGTTCCGAAGCTTAATTATGCTTGAATTATGTAATTTCATGGTGAAATCAGCTTATATATTTTTTTTAAATTTTGATTTTTTTAAATCAACTTATTTTATGTAATTCAATTATTATTATTATTATTATTATTATTATTATTATTATTATTATTATTATTATTATTATTATTATTATTATTATTATTATTATTATTATTATTATTATTATTATTATTATTATTATTATTATTATTATTATTATTATTATTATTATTATTATTATTATTATTTACGGGCTGATTCAATTATGATTCAACTATTTTTTTTAATTTTGATATTTTTTTTTTCCAATTATGTTAATTTTGGTTTGTTGTAATTATTGAATGTAGGTGGAGCATATAATATCTACACAAGGGAGCTTAAGACTCAACGTCTCAGACCATAAATGTTGGGATAAAACTTGTTTTTATTACAATTACGATTTTTTTGCTCTTTTATTAGTCTTAGTCTTAAGAAACTTGCGACATTATATGACCAAGTTGATGTATTTTAAAGTTGATGTATTTTTTTTTTTTAAACAAAAGTTGATGTATTTTTGAGTATATTAAATGTGTATTATACTTATGAAATAAAAAAAAAAATATCTGTGTATTATATTTGTGTAAAAAAAAATAATCGCATTATTTGATAAAATGATCCAGCATGTGCTGGATATTTTTTTAATTGCATTAAACACTATTCTTAACGGGCATATGTAATGTCTGTTACGAATAACGGGTTATTCGTAACGGGCAAAATAAATGCCCGTTACGAATAACGGGTTATTCGTAACGGACATTTTATCAGCCCGTTACGAATAACGGGTTATTTGTAACGGGCACTTGAAACGCTCGTTACGAATAACTACTTATTCGTAACGGACAATGTAAGTGCCCGTTACGAATAAGTAGTTATTCGTAATGGACGGTGCCCGTTACGAATAATAATGGCCATCCGTAACGGCCGCATACGTAACGGACGCTGCCCGTTACGGATGGGCCCTTTTTGCCCGTTACGGATGACCTTTTTTCCACTAGTGCATACGAATTATAATCATACCACTCCATGAAAACACAATAAGAGTAAAACAAAAAGGAAGTATATAAAAAATAAAACAAAAAGGAAGTATATAAAAAAAATAAAAATTATATACAAGTTTAGTTCAACCAAAAATAAAAGTTAAATCAAATTAAGCCGTCTCCCCGACAACGACGCCAAAATTTGATAGGTTGTCGTACACCTGTCAAAAATAAATTCCTAACAAACCAACTAACAATGTAGTAGGGTAAGTAGGGTCGAATCCACAGAGAGATGGCTATTTAATATAGCTTTCAAGGTATGGAGAAACTAAACTATGTCACGAAATTGGGATAGAAAAATAGTATAAATTAAAATAGAAATAAAACAATTAATAAAAATACCTAGGGTTATGGTTCACCATGTTTATAGCTCTAAATCTATCAAATATCAATAACAATTCAATCAATCAATTATCTAGAGCAATTGCTAAGCCTACGGTCGGGTCTTAACGCTCTCAATTCAACATATGCAGTACGGTCGCTAACATAATACGAATTGCTAATTGTAGGGAAGCCTCTAAAAGTAAGATCTTTCGATTCATACTCTTATTAACAATAATTAATCAAACAATTGATCAGGTTGCAAGATTAACAACAAAACACTATCAATTAGAGAAATCAATAATCAAAATATTAAAATTATCAATCAAGATTCATCATATAAACATGGATTCCCAAACCCTAAAAATAAACTACTCAAACATGGAAGAAATAATTAAAACTAGATCTAAGGAATAAAACATAATTAAAAACAAAAAATAGAAATAAAATACCTTAATGAATTGAAATAATAAACCCAAGAATCATCCATGGAAGAATTTATGGAGATGCCATGAGAAACTAGGGTTTGAGAGAAAACTGAAAAAAACGTAAAATAATAAAAAGCATAAAAAAGGCATAAGGGAAAAATAATATCCCTTGAGTATTTATAATATTCTAAAACTAATCTAAAGATAATTAAAATAAAATAAAATCAGAAAAATAGCAATTACAATAGTCGTGATACGATTGGTCGATTGAAAGAGTTATAATCGATGTAGGATTTCTCGTGGCTTGCGCGCACACCCCACTCATCGGGCGATGGGTGGCCGATGGTCGGAACGACACTCGACCATCGGGCGATGGAAAACCATCGCCCCAACCAGCAGCTCACGCTCGAGCGTACATCACGTCCATCGCCCGATGACTGGGTGATGGGTTAGCAGCTTCGCAGGATTGACTTCAAAGGGCTGTATCTCGCGTTCTAGGAACCGTATAGGGGCGTGTGACCTAAAATGGAAATCTATTCAAGTCTATTTTCCAACGCAATTTGAATCACCTCAATCCAATATGTAGAACTCAAGTTATGATCAAAAGAGTGAATAAGAGTCAGTTTTACCACTTTGTAAAACATCGTTTAACTTTGTTTCTAACTCAA